TTATGCTACACGTGCGATCCTTTGATTTCGATAGAGTCGAGAGTACAGTAAGTTGAACACGACACTGATATTGCCATTGTGCTACCAATACATATCCGAAATTCAGATGGCAAGAGAGGAGACGATAACTACTCAGGCACTTTCACTGTGAAAGACGTGAGGAGTGAATGTAGGTTGGCTAATCGAAGCTTTATACTAAATTCTGGCAAAATTAATTCACACGTACATTATTTCAATGACATGACCATGGCACCCAGTTACGCTTCGGTTGATCATTTCATAAATATCAATACGCGATATAATAGTAGAAGTATGGGTCAGGGTGGGAGAGCAATACGATTCAACGACGATAATTATTTCCCTTTTCCCCCATACAAGTCTCCAGATGAAAGGAACAATACTAGAATGTTTCTATATTTCTCAAACCAAGGTATTTAGCACCGAGACAAAGCGGACCGTAAAAAAAAAAAAGCAATACTGCCTCAGACGAATTTATAGCTCCTTACAATTACCTATCATGAAAATTACCTATCAGGAAAATGCAGCAGCTGTCATGCTTTCTTCGCAAATTGGACCAAAACCATTGCAGTAGCGAAAAAAAAAATGCTTTCCTTCAGTTCAGCCAGAAGATCCTGGCAGTAATTCCTGCTCATAGGCGAAAAAAAAAAAGAGAAAAATGCGCACGCTAGAATCCCGTGCGCTCTGCTGTATGCCATGGTCTGAGCTGCCGCCGGAACCCTCACTCAATGCACCCTCTCGCGGTAGCCGGGCGGGCACGGCGATTGGGACAGCCGCAGAGAAACACGCCGCGTGCCCGCCGTCTCGGAGGCCATGAACCACACTTCACCCCTTCGGCCAGTTGCCGCCAGGCTACGACTCTGCTCGATCTCGCAGCCAATTGCAAATGTTAGTAGTGTCGTCGTTACGCGACTATAAGCAACATACTTGCATCTATTCAGACACCTGAGTGCACGTAACATTTCTACTTGTGTTTACTGTATACTGCATCCATGCGCCTCGTGGCGTATGGTGGTTTTTAAGTGATATATCAAGCTTCCTCATTCGTGCTTCGCATATCATCGATTCTCCCTGTAAGTGGAATTTGCCTTTTTTTTTTTTTTGCCAGTGCATAACCTAGGAAAACCGTTTATCGCTAATACACCCTTAATATAACGCTAGATGACATGTATTCGCTATAAACGTTTTTTTTTTTTTCGTTACGCTCTAGGGGAAAAAAGTGTTCAATACAGTGTTGTCATCTGTGGATATATGCGCGTATAGCTTAAAATTTGTAGTTGTGAGAGCTATGCACGTGCGACGTATGACGTGGGAGTACATATGCTAGCGTGTTCAGCGAGTAATGAACTAATGGTGAAGGTTAACGCTGTGTTGTCCTGAATGCGCCTTCTTTTGGCCACGTCCTTAGTCTGCGTTACCATCCATTATTATGTGAGGAATCCGCCGAGCACGCACAAGGACTCCTGAACCGTACACGCGGAGGTCCCAAAATTTAATTACTTCTTTTATTGGCACCTAAACATGACCGCATGCCTTCGAAAATATTTACCACATTTAAACTGACCTGACTACAACGGCACGGTTCAAGGATAAATTTCACTCAAGCATTGCGCTACATTGCAACCAATGCCCCCGCGGAACTTGTGTGTTTTAAAGCAACTCGGCACGTTGAGAGAAAAGCGGCAATTCCGAAGTTGCGTTGGCCCGTTCGTATTGACAGCGAAGCAGAAGACGGGGAGGGAAAAGTTCTCGGGGGAGGCCGATTGGTAGCATTCACCGTTTCTTTTTCGTGCCTTACATTTTCGTGGCTTACAAGAACACAGGTGGCAAGTGCAGCACCAGTCCCCCCCCCCCCCCCTCTTTTTTTAGTCAGCAGAAACAAGATTCGCGGGTTATGTGTGGGCGATTGGAGCACAGAAGCGTGGCATCCGTGCAACACTAAATGGACACCAAAGTGAAGCAATGAATCAGTTACAATTAATAAATTGTACATTAAGGCCTTTAATGCACCGAACTTCACCATCATGAGTCGGTTAGTGGAGGAGAAAATCTATTTTGCGCCTAAAACGCCACTCTTGACATCACGCATTTCAGTGTGTTTTTTCGTATTGTGGAGGCATTGGCTTTACAAAATTTTCACAAACACAGTTAAGTGTGTAGCTCCCTCAGAGGACAAGGTACTTGCTTTATTTTTACTAATTAGGAACTACGTAGCGTTTAGTAGACGATGTCAACCTACAGCATCACGACGTTTGATGCAGGAATTTCCAAGTGAGGTCGCCACGCAGCATGCCGTCGTTAGCCCAATCTAGACCAAACGCCGGAAAATGACAGCAGCGATATTGCTCCCATGTACAAAAAACACGGTAGCGATACTTTCACCAACATCGTACCGATGTCTGAAATATGGCGTTCAACCGATGAGGGCTTGCGGGCTTGTCGTCAGTATTTGAGGCCGCTAAGTGTTATTGCGCAGTTTATGATGCGTGACATTGCATTTGTAGCACAGTAAGTTTGTTCCCGTTATTTTAAATACCTTCTAATTGATTTTGTGAATAGTAATTGGTAGCTGCCGAGTGTGCAAGTTTGCGTGATGCCTTTGCTCAGAATATATATTTTGTTTGTGCCGTAAGCTTTAGCTTTTTAACTCGGTCTTTGGACCGCAACCGGCGTTGTTAATGCACCAAAACAACCAACACTTGAAGTATGTGTGCTTTCGCGGTGTGTTATGGTGGGCCGGTACATCAGCCCTTAGAATCTATTCCCAGATTGCCCCCCAATGAACGGAATCAGTTATCCTTTTCATTTCAGGTGCGTCAAACGGGCCGCATTCATGGATAGTATTGAGGCCTATACTCTACGAATGATTGGCCCTCCTAGGGCAAACTGTTCACATTTGTGGTGTAATAGGTACTCCTAATAACGATTCAGAATCGAACCTCTGATTTGCAGCTACGGAACACGTTATTTATGGCTTACTGTACCGCGTAGAAATTCGTGTGAAGGCGTTTCTGCTGGGAGAAACGGTGGCGCCAAAGCGGATGCGGGGTAAACTAGGCCCGTCCCGCCACTTCGTCGGCACACAGCAGACCGTACCTTGTTTTCTATCCAGCGGGTGGTCCAGGTGTCAGTCAATGAGAGCCAGGAAGGTACTACACAGCACAGGTGCTACAGAAGAACCTGTACAAATACCTTCCATTTGCACAAACAACTTGTCGTTAAAAAAATGAACGTGGCTCCAAGATGAAATTTCAACAGGGCCAAAAAACTGTCTACCTAGAACTCCGGCCTGGTTAATAAAAGACACAGACCCATTGTTCTCTATGCACGCACCCGAGTGTGGGGTACAGAATAGAAAAGTCATGGACAGAGAAAAAAAATGTTCTACAGAGCTATTGTCCTGAAGAAACGCAATTGTATAACATAAATTTTTCACAGCGAACGGGTCGTCTAACCCAACAGTGTTAAATTATTTCAGCAGGCAACGACTGACCTTACCTGCCACGTACTATTTTCGCTCACAATGGTCCTAAAAGGCATCTCCGGTTTGTGAGTTTCAGCGTTAAAAATGCAGACCGCTTATTTCTCTTGCACTCACGAATGCTCTTTGCCAGCCTACTCAGTCCGTACTCATTACACAAGGCAACCGCCTTAGACTTTACCTTGAGGGCGGAAAGCCTCACTTCCTTGAAGTTCTTTCGTACGGCATCAGCGGCCTTGACTTCGAAGATCCCTTTCTTCATGAGCACAAATCCACCTTCTTTATCCGAGCACGCACAAATAATTCTTCCTGAGAAGGCACACCACTCCCTCCGTGGGGTCACGCCCATTACGACGTCCTTTCAGAACCATCCTTAGCAAGTCGTACAGCCTAGAACCGTCCTTGGCAAGCCGTACAGCTTACGTACAGCCATATCAATCTATCCATCCCTCCATTCAGGCGGGCGTTTCAAACTGACGCAAAATTGTTCTGTATCAACTAGCATTAACTATACGATGCGTCAGATCATTTACGATATGATTTCGGTGTTACCAGTCGCAAAGCTACAAATTACTGTAAAATACTCGCAAACAAAACTTGCGCTGTCAGGGGTCCTTCAACTGGAAACAAATTCCAATTTATAAGAAACCCTCTTTGTCGATGATGCCAGGTATCACGGTGGGGATCAGTTCGCTATGTCGGTCGTTGACGAGGAAGGTAACCTGGTTAATGCAGCCTCTGTTTATACAAAAAATGCCCATGTGGCAGAGTAAGCGGCGATCACTCTAGCTTTTCACAGCGCAAAAGCCCCCACTGCTGTCTTCTCGGACTCACGTATGGCAGTCAGATCTTTCTCGAATACCTTTGTGTCTGAACAGGCAAACAGTATTGTGGCAAAAGCACTTCAACAAACCCAGGAGTGCAACGAAGGAGGGTACTACATCGCGCGGTTTCCAGCCCATCTAGATGGTTCAGTTAACCCGCTCGATTGTAACCGTAACGAGCAGGAACATCGGGTAGCGCACGATTTCAGGTGCCCCGCTGTCGCGGATAGCATGCTCGTAACGAGGTCGACATTTACAAAGATCGTTGTCTACTTTTCCTGAAGTTGTTTCCTACTACCGTTTGGCCAGAAAAAAAAAAAAATCTCCTGCCCCCTACCCCGATTTGACCAAGCCTCAGGCGAGCACATTCAGACAAATTCAAACCCGTTCGTGTAAGCGGATAGAACCCGACCATTAGCAGTCGTGCCCCAAATATGGCCACGACTCATGTTCTTTTAATCACTTGCTCTGTATGTACTTAGCCCTTAACGCTTCTCCACCCATCACGAAGGAACAATCAGATGCATCTCTGAAGACAGCAAGCAGCCTTCATACACAACGCCAGGCAGCCAGGCCGTCCAGAGGGCCCACGACATCACGACGGAACTTCAACTTCCGGTCCCATTGTGGGCGGGGTTACCGACTTGATATGGCCGGAGGCTTGTGGCAACGTTTTTAGAACAATTCAGTTTCACAGCTCCGCTCCCGAGGCGGCCGTGGTGGCGGTCACGCGAACTAGTGGCGCTGCAGTCACGCTTTTCTTCACTTGCTCCTGATCGGGCGCGCGGACAGGCGGGTGCTTTGGCGGGCGCGCGTCGTTCGAAGCGATTTCGTTCCCCACACGTGCGCCTGAATCTTCCGGTTTCCGAATGTTCGCTTTTCTGTTGTGAAAATGCCTTCGTGTTTTGCGCCGGGATGTACGAGTGGCTACAGAAATGACGCCGCAAATCATCATTTTTTTACCCCACCACGTAAGGCCACGGAGTTTAAACAATGGGAACACATGCTGCACCGCAAGGACAGGCGCCTCACGCAAAAGTCCAAGGTATGTGAGACATTTCGAAGAGCAAGACATTGTAAAGTATTTCAAGCATGTTGTAAAGGGCCAGGAGGTTTTAATTCCCCGTGGTAACTGGAAGTTAGTGCCAGGAGCGTTGCCGCGTCTCTTTCCTGGCTTGCCGGAGCACATATCTAAGCCAAGAACGACGACATACACGCGAAAATCACCGAAAAAGTGGAACAAAATCGGCTTGGAAGCATCGGCGGAAAGTGCGTCTTGTTCGAGTGGCTCGTGTGGAGAGGCCTCTGTGTCCTTAGGCGATTCGCTTGGAGCAGTGGGCATCACGCCACCACCTAGCACCTCAGCAACGAACTCCTCCGGTGTTTGTCTGAACGAACTGGTGACAGTGCCGTTACCTAGTAGGGACTGGAAGCTTGAAGTCATCGTCGATGAATGTTCTGGGCAAACTTGCGGTGTTTTTTTCGACAGGCGACTTGTGGCAGGGGAGCTCAAAGTGAGCAATGCCGTTATCGTGAAAAATTATGGTAGCTGTGTTGTGAACGGTTACAACAAGATGCACAAGCAACTGCATAAGACTGTAGACAGCACTGCTAGCGTCGAGCACCTGCTCAATGAGACAGATAGCTTGAAAATCTGTTCAGGCATTCAGGTAGCTCACACTGGTGTGACAGGAAAATTAGAAAATGTCCATCACAAGCTGTGTTCTGTCCTCACAACCCGACCTGTATGTGATCGGTGCCTACGCCTCCAAAGGCAAATAAGAGCAAGAAAGCCAATGAAGGCAGCGGTGAACAAAAGCAAAAAAAAAAAATGCGAAACTTGACCAAAAAAGTTTTCCGAGCTGCAGCTGCAAGGGAGAAGGGTAAGCAAGAAATCACACTGCTCAAACAGGAGCTTGCGAAGGCTTCCTACCAAGGAATAGAAGAAGCTTTAAGTGGCCTTCCTCACTTGCCACGCCTGGCATTCCTGACAGCACTGAAGTCACTCAAAGCAAAAGCTCCGTGTGGCATGCGGTATAATTCTGGGTGGATTTTGAACTGCTTGATGCTGAGAATTTCAAGTCCACGGGCATACAAGCTGATTAGCGAGATGAAAATGTTGCCGCTGCCTTCTCTTAGCCGCTTGGCACAAATTTTGAAAGGCTTGCCGTGCAAGTACGGCTTCAACCCCGTTTGTCTGGAAGCTATACAGAAGCAGTTTCATGGAAAAGCAGATGAGCAAAGGTTGGGGTCTTTGATCTTAGACGAGATCAAGTTGCGCCAGGCATATGACTTCAACAAATGCAGCTACAAGATGGACGGATTTGTTGATTATGGAGGTGTCACGAATGAAGGAACCCACCAGCTAGCCGACCATGCGCTGGTATTGATGTTTGTTCCTCTGTTTGAATCCTGGGTACAGCCAATTGCAGCGTTCGCGACAAAAGGTGCTGCTCCTGGCAAAATTTTGGCGGAACTAGTCCTGGAAGCAGTGGTGCGCCTTCACAAGCATAATGCTACAGTCATTTCCATTGTGAGCGATGGTGCGGGAAACAACCGGTCCATGTGGCAACAGCTAGGTGTTAGTGGCAGCATGGCAGCACCATGCCATAGGATTGCCCACCCGTGTCTCCCTGATGGGAAGTTTGTGCATTTCATTTGTGATGTACCACATGCCATCAAATGTGTGCGAAATCATCTGCTCAAGCACAAGTATGGCCGGGTGGGTGGCAGAACAATAATTTTCTTTTGTGTCGCCTTTTACCTTCGCATATATTAAAATCAGTTCTTTTTGCATTTCCAGGCTGGAGAGAACCGCATTGATTTCTCCCACTATCAGCTGCTTTACGAAACTGAAAAGAAGAAACATCTAAAAGTTGCCCACAAGCTAACTGAAGCTCATGTGCAGCCGACAAACTTCCAAAAAAATGAACGTGAGACTTGCAGTTCAGGTGAGCACTAGTCAGTGATGAAAAACTTTGTAATGCTCTGACGGTGTTACTGTATTGGACAACTTCCTTGAAACATAAAAAAACTACTTTTATACTGCAGCTTTTTAGCCGGAGTACAGCCATTGGCCTCCGTGTCTACAGAGAAGAGGGCACTGATGGCTTTCAGGACACAGCTGAAACAGAGGCATTCACACAAACGATAAATGATTTATTCGATTCCTTGAATGCTAAGCTCCCTAAGGAAGGAATCAGAGCCAACTCGCCGAAAATCCAGGTGAGCGACACGTTTAAACCGTGGTTCATTCGCCTTTTCTTCAGGTTAAACTGTTTGTGCGCTATTATTTTCCTTGAGTTGATTCATTTTAATGATGTAGCATTCTGTATTTCTCTCAATTTTTCGCAGGTCATCAAGGACTTCCTTGTGATGCTTGACACCACGGAATTTAACCACAATACGAAGAACACGCTCTTGTTCGCGTCGCGTCAAACCACGGAATCTTTGCGCGTGACGTTGCTTTCTATCATCGACATAATTGATGAACTACACAAGGCCGGTGTTCCATATGTTCTCACAGCAAAGCTGAACCAAGATCCACTGGAGGTAATGTGCCCTGGGCCTTTGTACCATATGGAGTCGACTCAAATATTCAATGTCAAGAAATGTGCTAAAATGCTTTCTTTCACAAAGTGTGAATTTAGCGTCTTGCACTAAATACCATGGCGTCGGCAGGATTTTCCTGCCGTTGCATCGCAGAGTAAGGGGGAGAGGGCGGGAAGAGGGGAAGTGCTGGTGTGGCTTACGGTTAGGGAAAGGTGCCCCTCTTTTGCAATATACACGGGCCAATTCCCTTGTTTATACTGGGCATACGGAAATGTGCTTGATGCGAAGTTTATTTGTGTGTGCAGATTTTTTTAGGAATCGTCTAATGGCATTTTAAATGCAGGGCATTTCAGTAACTCACGATGTGACCCGCGTTGAGTAGCGTAGTCCGCAGCCAGGCCACTACACTATAAAAAAAAATAGCAGTAACCGGCGCCCGGTTTCGATCCCATGACCCTGCGGGCGGAACGCGAGGTACATGGTGCTCTTCCCACTGCGCCACAAAACGTCAACGCAATACACCCACCCTCTATGCGACGCATTTACTCAAGTCCCCCTCGCGGGGAGATGGGTGCATACCCACTTAGGGGGATTGGCTAAGAAGAGCTGTGGTAGAAAAGAAAATGATGGTTAGGAATATAAAGCGGGTATCGGCGCTCTCTCGTCAGCAGTGTGGTTAGGGCTTCCTAAGGTTAAATGGTGATTGAGTGGGGAGAGATAGCAATGATATAACAACCAGCAGAAACAAGTGCAACAACATTAACGTTACGCAAACTACTTAACGTCGTGCACCCCCGGAAATGCTCTGCATTTGATCGTGCCCCTCGCGAGGGGGATGTCTCTTTACATTTACGCTGTGCTTACGTGGTCTTTAATTTCTTTTCTTGTCTGTAAACGATGCCCTTCAAAACAGTTTTGCGCGATCGCGTTCTTTCTTACGCAAACATTGCTGCCGTTCCTTTGTCTTCTTTTTTATCCCTCAGCGATGTTTAAACGTCTTTCTTTTGCAGAGATTTTTCGGAATAGTCCGGTCATTCCACGGTGACGACGACCACCCCACGATTATTCAATTCAGCCAGATTTATCGCCTGCTGTCCCTTTTTACACCTTTGAGAAACGCCGTAAAGGGGAACTGCCTGGACCGGCTGAGGGCGTCCTCGTTTCAATTCATGAAAGTCTTGCTGAAAAGGCGAAAGCGGCAGCTGAGCTAAAACTCGCCGTTGAAGCAAAGCTGGATAAGAAGCTTCTGGGGATGGTTTGTACCGAGGACGTTTGCTGTGACGAACGGGATCATGGGTACCAAAAAGCTGGAGCACATGAGATGGTGGTGTACTATCTAACCGGTTATGTGTACAAGAAAATCACGAAAACAATAACGTGCGAAGAATGCTGTGCGTTGCTCACAGCTTCTCCCGATCAGTTCAACTCCGAGGAAACACAGCTCAACCAGAGGCGCCTGACAGAGTTGAGGTCATTCAAGCCAAGATGCCTTCGAGAGGCCTCATTTAGGCTGTACGCATTAATTAAGGAAGTAGAAGAGGTTGTGCACGATACGCTTGAAACGTCGGCAGTGTTCGGGGATATTTTCTGGATGGTATTGGACAGGCTTCATGCGACTGCACTGCCTGCAATTGGTTGTAATGAGCACCATGAATTCCTCACCGCAAAGATAATCAAATGCTATTGTTTGATGCGCATGCACTTCTTCTCTCGAAAGAAGAACCGTGAACTGCTTGTCACGGAAAAAGTTCAAAATGCAAGAAAAAAAGCTAAGCTGCTTTGAGCTGCCTTTCTTGCTCAGGGAACGATGCAATACTATTCTGTATGTGCAAGAAAATATATGTTCCTTCTGAATTTGCCATTTTTACTTTCTCAGTATTATTATTCTCACCATGTTATCTTCAAATAAGATTCACGGGAATAGGAAAGGAAAAAAAAAACACCGAAATCAGATTGACGAGTCTGTTCGGTAAACGGCGCATGACTATGTGGCATCAGAAACGAGCACTATGCTTTTAAAAAGTTTTACTGCATGTACGTTTTCTTTGAAGGGTGTCTTTTTTTTTTTACAGTTATGCTCGCGCGAGGCCGCCTATGCCCATATAAGAATGTACTGGCGACGGTAGCTATAGATGGAGCCCAGACACGTAATTCCACCAGATGAAAATGGGCGCAGCAACAATGAAATGCATGTATACGAAGAAACTGCTGCTTTGGCACGAACTGTTCCGCCAGCAAAGCGAAACGCTTTCAAATGCGAGCGTTTCCTCCGGTTTCCTCCGCGTTTCCTCCGGTGTAGCAGACGACGCGCAGAGTGCGGAGCAAAGCATGCCTACAGCGCCCCTAGCGGCCGCGACACGCTATGCGGCCGCGCCGGATAGTGGGCGCCTATGGGAAGCTGTGAAACTGAATTGTTCTGAACGTTGGCTTGTGGGTCCCCAAAATATCTGTCCCTCAGGACCTAAATAATGTTGTCAAGTCATGTCATTTAATTGACGCGCCAAGAGCACACGTCGGCGGTGGCGGCGGCCGCGCGCCGATCAGTTGGCGGCGGCGGCGCAGCAAAAACTGTTGGCGGCGACGCGCCGCCAACAGTTCGACGCACACCTCTAATTGTGCCCCACAGAATCTTGGCCCCATAGAGTTTCATGTATGAAACTCTATGCTTGCCCCATTCCTCTTTGTGGGTGAACGCAAGTTATCTAAGGTCGGCGCCATCATCAAAAAACAGTGCGAAGCAAGCGCCACTAGCGTCGCCAGCAAGATAATTTGCACAGTGTCGCGGCTAAAAGCACAGCAGGGTCCCCAAGATTTTTCTTTCGGTTTCTGACGATTAGAAATTAAATTCGATGGGATTGACCCGTGTCATGAGCGTTCTGCCTGCCGATGGTTAAGATACACCCTCCGCAGGGCAATGGAGGATCGGCACTGGACAGTGGCTACTTGGCGGCCGACAACATGCGACCGCCGGACTCCATGCGGCCCGAAAAGAGCAAAAGCCCCGAGAGCAACCCGGACTTTGCCACCATCCGCATCGTCAGCCGCGTTGTGCTCTTTGTGCTCAAGAAGTGCTGGATGGTGTGCGGGGTCTCGTTCGTCTCCATATTCGTCATCTACTGGTATTGCAGCAGCATCCTAGCGCTGCTCCTGTTAGTCTTCGCAATTACAGGTACGAACGCGGCCGCGCGCGGACAGCGACGGTGTTGTGTCGCTGTTCTTGTCAACTAATTAGACCGTCATTTTTAAAGTGGTTGTCGGGTCGAAGGGCGGGAACTCGAGACATGAGGCAGAGTACTCACCGTGCACGTTGCTCAGGCGTGGAGGAAGGAGACGCGCTGCCGATCGGCGTGTCCTTGTCGCGGTGGAGAGGGCGAACCTGTCTTGGAAATGCTCTCCGCCTACTTTCCTCACCGCCTGCGCATCGCGATGTGTGTGTAAATCGCGTACTCAAAATGCCCCCCCCCCCCCCTTCCACCCTCCCTGTCGCCTAGGATCAAGTGAACGCCGTAGACAATATTATCCGCTGTGCAAGATAATAGTGAAGATATTTATAACTGAAGCCACCCTGCTGCTGTAGAGATAGCGGGTCAGTCTCCCACACGATGCCAGCAACGCTCGCATTCAACAGTAAAACCTGGAAACTGGCCGCTCACTGCGGTTAAATTGCAGCGAACTGGATGTGAATCGAAGGACTGAGAGACGCCCCGCGGGGGTCACTCACGTTGAGGCCGTATAAGCAAGTTTTGAGGTTGTGGGTAGCCCTGGGAAAAAATGATGCTTGAAGAGGGGCTAAGGAACTTGAAAAAGAGTTGATGGGCTGAGAAAGTGTTTTGGTATTTGTATGAGAAGAACATTGACACAAAACGAGAAAAAAGTAACTAGGAGACTCAACAGCAAGTATTCGGCTAGCAGTGTAAGTGATGTGGCAGCAAAAAGTGTTAAGTGAAAAGCTATAGAGTCGCACAGGAATAGTTGAATGGCAGCGACAGAAAAAGAACTTCCCTAAGTAACAAGCGAAAGGGAAAAACAGGAAATGAGGCATTTTATGATAAATCAAGGCAAGGGCTTTACTGTTTAAAGAGAGGTTAAGATGCCTTATAACACATAGTTATAAACTGAGGCAAAAAGTTCCCCTTCGTGGCTCGCAATGAAAGCTCGTAGAGAGAAATTCATGAACACGGGGTGTGTGCCAATGTTTCACCGCCAAGTGGACTTCACTTGACAAGGACGCATGTCGAAACTTCGAGCTCCAGCACACACACACCTGTTTACGAATACCTTGTAGTTACAAAGCAGGATTCAGTAAAGCAGAACGCACATGTCATGGAAAATCTCGGAAAATATTGTGGCATGTTCTGATTAATTGTGGAGGTATCCACCCAGGTGAACGTTTCGGCATGAGCCAACACAAAGCATTGGATTGAATGTACAACAATGGAAGGCTATACACGTCACCAATTGAAATAAGCAGGAAATGATTAGGTGTATTGGTGGCAGCAAAGTAAAGAGGCAGGACAAAAATCACTAGTTGGATAAATGAGAATGTTCTGCCATAAGAGGCATAGAGTAGGGCTAAGAATTTGTGTTTAGATGTGAAGCTTCTTAGGGTGGAGCTCAATTCGGTGGTTAGTGTGATTCCGTTTACTGTGAATGCACGTCCCCTCCCCTCTCTCGCCTCGCAATGCCAACACAGGCAGCGTCTGCTAGCTAGTTTCTTGATTGAAAAACCCGACTGCTCGCACTGCACAACCGTTCACAGGCCACCAAGTGTATATAGGCTCTAGATTTTGACCTCCAAGGTAGGGCAGTGGAAGATTTCTATTCTGCATTGCTGAACGAAAAGTGGACTGCTGCTCTCTGTATCTAGTCGGTCTGTCTCTTATTGCCCACTAGCAGCGATTGGAATGTTCCTGTAGGAAACATTGATCCACCACTGCGTGCTTCGCGCCTCCCCAGGTTTCTCTCTTGTGCAACGCTACGATGAGCGCCAGCACCAGTGTAAGCGTTAGCACCCGCTGCTTCGCATATGCACATAGTTCTCTTTAGTGGAGGTGGTGTTATTTTTAATATCCTTATTTCTTCTGGTAAGGCTGATTTTAATAAAGTAGATTAGGTGATGGGTCTATTAAAACTTCTTGAAAATTTATGCTTTTGAGTGGTCGAATACATTTTACTGCCCCATTATAACAAAGAGGGTGCTCATGCCATCCATTCATCGATGTAATGCAAGTGCAACACTACTTTGGGGCATTCAAGTTATGTTGAAGCACATTGCCTAACGATTAGATGCTGTCCTGCCAACACTAGGAAAAGTATAGCTGCTCAAGAAAGGACGACACATTTATTCGTTTTAGTAAGGAAACGGAGTGAAGTGGTTCATAGAATTGTTGTATTCAGTACTTTAGTGGTCGTTTCAGAGTGCTTTTCTTGTGCTGTGAAGGTAATCAGAAGCTGCCTTACCTCTCCTCTTTGTTATGCCAGTAAAAGAAGTAATAATACAGTATTCTTACCATCTGGGTATCTCCTTTATCCTAGCAGTAGGGCTTAGATGCTGCTTCAGTGGGAAATTTGTATTAATGTCATGGACAGCGTTTCATATCAAGCACTCGAACACCCATGTTATTTGATGCCTTACATGTCCAAATCAGACTTTAATGCTAGCTGCACATGTCACAGTGTAGTCAGGTTTCAATTAACTTTGTGCCTGATCCTTGGATTCGTTGAATGCCATTGACCCTTTCACTGCCGGGTTTTTTCAGCACTGGTGCACACTCTTTGCTGTTTATTGTTTTTTTCCTGTACGTTGTGCAGGAATTTTCGGTGAGCCACACAGTAGAATGCTGCTTAGGACATCCAAACATTTTATAGGGGATTGTCTTTTCAAAATAAATGTAGCACTCATTTCGAAACAATATAATAATGAATGAAATAATCATTTCTAAATAATATTTATCCATTAAATTGAGAGTGTCTGAGACACTGATTATCCATTTAATTCGGAGTGCAAATTAGTCAAGAGTCTTCTGTCAAATAGCGCCTCCACATGGCATGTGGACTCGTCATGGCAGTGCTGCTGGGCTGGAGATGTGAGCTGATGTGCAAGTGTGTGCATCCTGTGTTGTAACTACAAGTTGTATTTATTTATATGTCCTCTTTGAGGGAGACGCCTACATTATTTTGTACAGAAGTGGCCTCGAGAGTCGCAAGGAGTGTTTTAAAGGGGCAAAACAAGCATAGGGCGAGTTCGCAGGGCTCCTCATCGCCCATGTGTGATTGTGGCATTGGCAGTGAAGGAGTCCGTTTGTCTCCTATGACGTATTTCACTGTTACTGTTGTAGCTCTTTTGTGGCTCAGAACATTGTACGTAATAAGAATATGCGTGATAATCGTATTCAGGTCTCGCACCACAGAGACAACAAAATTGGTCCATGTTTCTATTGTGTCATACACATACCTGCCAGCTATTCTGAGCTTTCCGTAATGTTTATCACTTGAGTTATGCTGAAATATTGTGAATAGTTTGTCAAATTTGATGCAACATAAAGTCTACTCTGTGAGAAACTTTCCAGACTACGATGCCAAACAGAGGTGTGCAAAACCTTTGACCTCTCGGTGGGTATTGAAGAGCACCAGAGGGATAGCTAGTTGAAAGGAATTAGCAAAGCTGCTACAGTCGGTAAATATGCCGAGTAAACATTGTCTAAAGACAAAGATAAATATCAAGTTTTCTTTAATAATGTGCATATGTATCCCTCAAGGGATGCTTGTCGAGAACAGATATCTAAAAAAAAAAAAATTCGTGCGTTCCCTTCTTTGTTACATCTTTACTGTCATGATTTGGGAAGTTTTACAATTTTTACGAAAGTTCGCACGTCGAGGAGAGGTATGCGCACCCTTGCAGCAGCTGCACCAACTACTCGGAAAATCCTGTGTGAAAGATAAAGCAAATAGCGAGCTGTTCTTTCTTCTTACCTGTGCCATAACACTTCATTTATGTCTACTAGACTTGGAAGAGAACATTGTGATTTTAGGAGACAGGCCTCTTTTGCAGTCTTAATTTTTTGCTGATTGTATGCAAGTTGTCTAGGGATACTGCTGTGTAACACTGTATTTCTGCAAGACATGAATACAATAATGACACCAGGCAGGAGAATGAAATCGAACAGAACCAAGTTTGTCAGTCTATGCTCGGTTGAATTCCTTTTCTTAGATGCCTTATTTAGCTATTTACTCATTCTTGTACCCGCAGTGCCATTCAAACATCACAGTGTGGGAGTATACAGAGCAATTTGAAGAACCTATGGTACTCCAGGATAAACAGTGCACTATGACAAGAGTTACGAAAAATATGCCATACATCAGAACAAGCGTTGGTAGACTGAAAAAACACGATCAAGAGCTCTAAGGAGCAAAAGTGGGCACATGAGTGTACATCACCAACGTACGAGGGAACTTTCTTGTACCGAGAGAGAAAATGGTATTGCCACCGTACTAATATAAAACAAATAAAAGCCATGTAAAAAGAAATAAACTCTGTATAATATACAAAGTGACCTCAGAACAAGACTTCAAAGAGCAGCCGTAAATGCTTCATTATTCAATATGTTGAATTTGGTAGCAGTACTAGCAGGTAGTCATTTTTATTCTGAAACTGTTTTGAGGAAATAAAAACATCAGTTGTGCAACTATTCACCCAGAGATCAGGCTACAGCTAGTAGCACCGTCACTTCAGTAGTGTGAATAGGCTGCGCACATACAAATGTACGCAGTGATGCTTATTCGTGAGCAGTGTGAGTCGATTGCTAGCGAATAAAATGCATTGACTGCAGCCTACTCGTAATATGTTGTCCATTGCCAAATGGGTGTACGAAACTCACAGGATGTTACTATCGCTTATGAGAGAGATTCAGTCTGGCATTGAAAGCGATGTTCACTTTTGGGAACTACCTGTGTTTTAACACTTTGTCAGAGTTGTCGTATTTCTTTTTCTAAGTGTTGACCTTGTGCTTGCAAACTACGCACTGCTGTAGTGTGACTGCACTCATTACACTCAAAACTCGGTATAACAAACTCGGAACAGAATTAAATATTGGCTATAAAGAAGCAAATGAAGAATAGTTTTGCGTAAGAGACAGTGTTAGAAATAAACCTTCATAATTAATTTTTACATATGACTTACATATTTTCGTATGAGATGCAACTTTGATATAAGGAGGTCTGAGTGTATTTGCTTCATGCATGCTGGTCTTAGATACTAAAAAAAAAGAAAGATACTATATTATTGGGCGATAAGCTAAACGAACCGAAAATACACATTCATATTTTTTTAGGGGGGAACAGCACAAAAATGGGATGAGGAAAGAACGACCACGCAACGCAAGCGCTGTTATGGTCATTTTTTCTTTGTTTCGTTCT